TGCCGGGTTTTTGGGTGTATTTAAAAATGTTTTTTTTTTTTTTTTTTTTTTGCACATCTGTGCCCAAGTGAACTGCTCCTTATGTGCTGGGAGGATGAGCACACTAAGTTTAAGGTTTAGGAATATACAGGGACCAAACGTGAGGTCTTTAAATTTGGTTGACAAGATAGGGGAGTACGGCGGAGTGATTGAAAACCGCTAATACCCAACCCCTGACCAGCCTGGGACAATTCCACTCCTTGCAAAATAAAATAAAAATTGCCGGTCCCGTTTTTTCAGGGACCAAGCTAGACCTCTTTTTTTTTTTTTTTTTGGAAAAAAAAAAAGGAGGGGGAAAAAAAAAAGGGGGAAAAAAGAAAGAAGAGGAAAAGAAAGACACTTTGAAATGCCATCCCTGATCCAGCTGCTTTCAACAGCTCATACAGCTGATGGGAAGCAACATATTGAAAGAACGACCTTGTTATCGAATAAATACAGTGATGATTATGATGATGATGAGCAAAACCAAGGAGAGTTGGGCTGCTAAAAAGGAAAAAAAAATCTGTTTAAATGGGTTAAAACTTTTTTCCCTGTTTTTACATAATTTAAATAGCTCAATTAACATATCAAATAAATGAAACCTTTTAAAAAATGCTCTGCAGCATCCATATTTAATTAAGAACTGCATGGAGGCCTTTCAAATACATAGGTGTCATTTCTAATTTTTCTGAGTATTGTAGTTCTAAACATTAACTCTAAAGCAAGTAGTAAATTAAGTTTAGCGAAAAAAACAGTGAAGAGAACATGCAAAAATGTGAGAAATCTGGTGGCGATGGCAGAACATGTGGCCAGAAAGGTGAACACAATGGAACATCACTCAAAATGCTATAATTTTTATCTCTATTTTCTTTACAAAATGCAGCCCGATCGTTGATGTAAAGGCCTTGCACAATTGCAGTGAAATCCATTGTTCTTGTTCTTACTGTGCAAAGCTGAATTTGTGAATTAACCTCTGTGAAATGGCCTTTTCATCTGTGCTTTACCTTGCTTTCACTCACTCCCGTGAAGAGTTTGAAACGGCAGAAACGCTCCTGAATTCGGAGGTGCATATGCTGCTGGAGCATCGCAAGCAGCAGAACGAAAGCGCGGAAGATGAGCAGGAGCTCTCCGAAGTGTTCATGAAAACCCTGAACTACACGGCCCGCTTCAGCCGCTTCAAGAACCGCGAAACCATTGCCAGCGTCCGCAGGTGAGCGGGGCTTTAGGAGGCAAGGTTGTGCTGGGGACTTCGCTCTGGAGTGTTGGTGCCGTTTTCTGAGAGCAGGGGTTAGGGGGTGTTTTTCTGATTTGGGCTTCCAGAATCCTGAAACGTATCTTGCTGGGGAGGCTAGAGACTTGAAGGAAATTTTTTATGAAAGGTTTGACTTGGTCTAAGGTCATGCCTTATTATTGGCTTTGATATCAGTATTTAACTAATAGTGTGTTGGAATAAATGAAAGTAGTTTTCCAGATTGCATTCAGAAAAAATCGGTATAAGGGGGGTTTTTGGCTATGATTTTTTTTTTCTGTATTCCATTAGGCCCTTTTATCTTTTTTTTTTTTTAATCTTATTTTTAATTTCACCATCTTCATGTCTTTACCTACAGTTTGCTGCTCCAGAAAAAGCTCCATAAGTTTGAATTGGCATGTTTGGCTAACCTGTGTCCTGAGACAGCCGAAGAAGCCAAAGCCTTGATTCCTAGGTGAGTGTTTATGTAGGCAGAAGAGTCTGTTTTATAGTTTGTTGTGGTCTAAAAGTAGCTATGGACAGATAGCTTCTCTTTGATCCATCCTTGTTAATTGAAAAGCTTTTTGTCTGTCTTCAGCTCCGTGTTGATCTGTTGGTGGGGTCATCTTTTAAGTGCCCCTGATATACTAAAGCTGACTGGATTAAATACAGTGAGCGTTAATGGGGAATTACACCTAGCTGTTTTTTGTTTCCTTGAAATGAATGAATGCTCTTGTGTACTGTTCTAGGGACAATATACAAGTTGGACAGAGTTGCTGGCTTCTGGCCTGACACACAAAATGAAGTGAAACACTAATCTGAATTACTGTTTCTCTCTTATATGGTGGGATTTTGTAGGCAGCTGGCCTGGTTTATAAGTGTAACACTACATGGACTTCCTTCAAAGATTTATTTAAACCTGCATCTGCCTTTGCCTTTTTGATGTAATGGTTTGAAGTTGTTCAGCAAAAAGATGTGGAAAGGGTAGTGTATTGTAGTGTAGAAAGGAGGCATGGCGTTGGGCTTAGTGTGGTATCTGTACAGTGATGTTATACAGGGTGCCTCATGGTACCATAAAGAGGGGAAATGATGGTGTTGACACTCACAAGAGGAAATTAGAGATACTTGAAGTTATTTGGAGGGGGGGAAATATTTCTAAAGCCTTTGGTGCACCCTGGTTGGTCTTGTCTTGCAGCCTGGAAGGCCGTTTTGAAGATGAGGAGCTGCAGCAGATTCTCGACGATATTCAGACGAAACGCAGCTTCCAGTATTAGGGGTAATGCTCATATGAACAGAAAAAGCAGAGAATTGCTCATGTTTCTTGCACTCTGGACCAATCCATTAACTCCCAGGCTCGCTAAGGGGAGTTGCAGATAAAGAGTCCTCTGGTTTGGTGTCATATGCAGTTGCATTCAACCTGGAGATCCGCTTAGTCCTTTTGGTTTGTTACACATACAGGATCGGTAAAGACTCCTGTATGGGGAGAACCAGTGGGCCTGGAATGTCCTTTCTCAGCAGCTCCCGTATTGGTTTCTTCCATCTCCCTCCTCCTGATTTGGGAATCCTCAATATCTTTCTGATTTTTAGCAGATGTGTAAATGTGAATTCTTTTTTGTTAACTACTAAGAGAGGGAGAAACCTCTTATGATGGACTGTTGGAAGCCTTAGTGATGGGAGATTCAGGATTAAGTTTTGTCTTTTTTAATTTTAATTGTTTGAGACAGTGGTTTTTTACCACTTCAATAATTTTGTATCATTGTCTATTGTAAATTAAAAGATGTTTATAATTAATGTCCCATATTTTGCAAATGTAATGTGAATATTGTGATTTCTTCTACAAAACCTTGTTGATAAAATAGTTATCTGGAGGAACACAAAAAAAAATATAGTAAAGAACACTTGGGACAAAGAGGAAGACAGATATATCGAGTCTTGCACTTGATCAGCACAAAGTTTCACTTACATGGCAAAGGGAAATAAATATTCCAACGTCATTATTTCGACTCTGATTTGAAACTTAATGTTGATACAATGTGCAGAAAGATGTAGCCGTTCAGTCACAGCTGGTTGTGCTGCCTCTCAGCTGAGGCTTCTCATGTCTGCTCCTCAAAGTCGTCATGTCTCCTGGAAGCCAATAAAACAGACATGTCTAATCGGGGCAACATTAATTGGATAAGAATAATTGTAACAAAAGAAAACAAAACAAAAGCAACATAGTGAACCCCTGTTTTATACGCTCAGCGGCCCCTTCTCATTTTTGGTATGGTCTCTGGTAGCTCTCAGTATAGCTTACTTTAATCGGTCTGTTTATTCGTGTAAAATATTTCCGTTCAGAACGTAAAGAGATTTTATTATTTAGCAAATAAAAGCCGGGTCTCCGTCGCGAGCGCTGCCGGGGACAGTGCAGCAGGCCGGGGGCCGAGGCCGCCCTGGGGCGGCTGCAACGAGGCGAGGCCCTTCCCGCCGGCTGCAGAGCGC